GGGAGGGAGAGGGAGAAGGGAGACTATGTAGGAGGAAATATTTTAAAACTTTTTTTATTTTTATTTTTAGCCTGTAAAGTCCAACCCCTCACCCCCCTCCTATGGCACCAGTGCCCAATCAAGTCCAGAGCTCTTTCAGACTCTCCCTCTCTCTCTATATCCTAACCTCCTGATGATTCGGTGAAAGTTCGATGATGTAGTCTGGCACAGTCATGTTTTTTTGTGTGGAGTTGTGTATAGCCATATTAGCCAACATGACAACACACAACACGACCTTGCCTCTGTTCAGGCGGATGGATGCGGCTACCGTCTTCACCCGAATAGAACGCCGGGTCATTATAGCCGTATTTGGTGCAACTTTCAGTCCTGATGCAGCCATTATGACCGGGCGTTCTATTCGGGTGAAGACGGTAGACTAGTCAGGACTGTACTAACGGTCATACCATTCAAGTTTGGTGTCCATGGCTGAGTGTGTGTGTAGAGTGGGCTTTGTGGCTGTGTCAGACTACGGTCTTCACCGGAATACAACTTGAATGCCCAGGGCCTCGCCACACCACTCTCGAATCTCGAAAAATTTCGATAGCTGTCAGAACTTTTCGAGAGGGCAGTTTTCGAGAGGAAAGGGCCCTTCGCCACACAGCACACTCGACATTTTTCCTCTCGGACGTGGATCCTCTCCGCGGCCCGATTCGGTAGTGCTGTGTGGCGGAGCCGAACTCTCGAATTGGATGCATGTCCGGTACCGCGCGGAGGCCGTGCTGAGCGGAAGCCTTCCTCACTGTCAATGCACCGAACCGCAAAGATGGCTTGTATACATGCGTCAACCGCCTCTCGAAGATGGTGCATTTTCGAGAGTTGCTTTGGAGATTGCGCATTTCTCCTTCGGCGCACTACTGTCCAAACACGGCCTGACAGCTCTCGAAACGGAGCACGACCTCAAGCGCCGACGGGAGGTATCACGAAAACCACAAAGCTGCAGGCTGGGCGAAAACATCTTTTCGAGAAGGCCCTCGAAACCGGCCTTCTGACAGCTCTCGAAAAAATCCGAGTTTTTTTTTTTTTTCGTGAGGCTGTGTGGCGATGCCCAACTCTCGAATTTTCAAGATTCGAGAGTGGTGTGGCGAGGCCCCCAGTCCTTATCGCTGCATTTGGACTGAAAAATGCGCCAAATACAGCTATAATGACCTGGCGACGGGCGTTATATTCGGGTGACGACGGTAGTTTCTCAGACTTACAGCCGTTCAGGGTTGGGCAGACAGTCTGCTGGGATAGTGCTCAAAATCACTCCATAGATAAGTAATAAAATAGTGGCATTTTTCAGAAAGATTTCTGGAAAGATGGCTAAAAAATCATTGTCAAACATGGCTATCTTCTCTTTTTTGGTCGGCGTCCGGTGGCGACGTGGTGAGTTCTTATTCGTCGGTCAAATGCATCCTGGGCAGACTGTCGGTCCAGGTTCAACCTCCTGATGAGTCGGTGAAAGTCCAACGAAGCAGTCTGGCACAGTCATGCGTTTGTGGAGTCTTGTATAGCGAAAATGACAACACCCACTCACGCAAATCTTTCCTTTTCTTCTTTTCTTCTTTTCTTTGTTTCTTCTTCTCATTCTTCTTGTTGTCAATTTTTTGTGTTCTCCGGTCTTTTCCTGTGCTTCTTCTGTGTCTAAGTGAGCACCTTTAAGATGTGCCAAATAGTCATTGCCTGTGCTTCTCCTGTTTCTAAGTGAGCACCTTTAAGACGTGCCAAATAGTCATTGCCTCTGCTTCTCCTGTTTCTAAGTGAGCACCTTCAAGATGTGCCAAATAGTCATTGCCTGTTTGTTTGGAATGCCTGCAACACTATAAGGGGGCCTTCTGTGTTCGGGATGACTGTGTGTCTGTGTTCCCTGGGTGATGACGAACTTTGGTCGAACCAACTCCCTGGCACTGACGGTGGTATGGACCTACAGTCTGTTCAGTTCGACTTGTGGTGTGAGAGTAGGTGATGATCTACTTTATTCCGTGTTGGATGTGCGGAATGCCTTTGTCTGTGCCGGCTGCTACCCGGCCGCCCATCCGCCAGCCTTGTCTCCCCATGCTGCTTGCCTTCCTTGTAGTTTCACTGCTTTCTACCTGAGTCGCTGTCGCGCTGTGTTGCTGCCTTGTTGCCTGCTGCTCATAATGCCGCCCTGCTGCTTGGGTTCTTGGTTGGCTGCCCGCGAGCCTCACCAATGCCCTCCAGCTGATGTGCCTGTCTTCCAGAGCTTTGTTGCCTTGCCCTTGCCTTGCTGCTTGTGATGTGAACTGCTCGCCGTCCACTTGCGGCGGGGTTCAAAGGAGTTGACGACTCCAAAGTTCAAAATGTCAGTATGGGGATTCTGCAGACTGTTGAGGGTTGAGGATCATCCCGATGAATCGGTCAAGTCCGACCAAACAGTCTGTCACCATCCTTTTTTTTTTTTTTTTTTTTTTTTTTTTGTGTGTGTGTGTGTGTGTGTGTGTGTTTCCATGCTTATGTTCTCGTCAGCGTGGTACTTGAGTACTTTTCATGCCTTCCACCCGGCCCCGTATTAATGTCTCCAAGATTGTTACATGGCGTTTTCATTCAGGGAGGAGTTATGGGAGAATTGTCTTCAACTACTTGACAATGTGCATGGTTTTCTCTTGGGAGGTGGCTGTTCGAAGCACACAACTGTGTTGTGCTGAAGCTATATTACACAGTCTTTTGCAGATAGCATCTCTCAGACATACATCTGCTTGGCGAGGTTCGACCTCCTGATGAGTCGGTGAAAGTCCGACGAAACAGTCTCAGACTGCCACAGCCATGCTCTTTTTTTTTTTTTTTTTTTGTGGATGTGTGTATAGCGAACATGGCAACACACAGACACACACCACGGTCTGCCGTGGTTGCAGGGTTGGTGGGAGTAAACTCAACCACTTAAATTTCTCTCTCAATCGTATCGCTAAATCTGGAGGATGTGGTGATTCCTTATCCATCTGATTCAGTCAAATGTATTGTGCACAGACTGTCCGTGTTCAACAGTTCAACAACTTCAACTCCTAATGTGTCCGACTTGATGGATGAAACAGTTACTTTTCATCCTAATGAGTCCGAGTCGATGGATGAACAGTTCCATGTTCGCTGTACACATTCATGCGCTTTTTGTGGAGTTGTGTATTATAGCGGACATGGAAGCAGACACACACACTCGCTCATGCAGCTAAGGGGTGGCTTGAAAATAACCTTTAGAATTTTAGAAAGGGGG